GCCGTGCACCCTCCCCGGGCATGGGGTCCCCAGTCCTGCGGGGTGCGGGTGCTTCGCTCACGAAGGAGGTGGCCCACACCCAGAAATTCAGGAGTTTTGTACATGGACAGTTAACATCAGAAAAAAAGGAGAAGACTGAAATCTCAAAGTTTTTTTTTTTGTTTTGTTTTGTTTTTTAAGAAAAGTTGAATGAAAAGCAGAGCTCCGACAGTGTCTGATCTTGTATGGTTTGAAGTGAGAATGTTTCATTCCTCTACAATGTGGGTTTTTTGTGGAGTTGGGGGGTTTTTTGTTGCTTTGTTTTGTTTTTGTTGTTTTCCTTTTGCTACTATTAGCGAAAGCAGAGAAACAGTGAAAAAAATCGTCGTTGAGTGTTTTGGCATTAAGATTGACTGTCAAAGTGGATTTTGTGCCAATCCTAACATGTGTTCTTTTTTCTGGTCTTCGCCAGGGAGAACTTCCTAGGTTTTCCAGAAATAAAGATGTCCCAAAAGAATGTTTTGTATTGTACGCTCATTCTTCAACAAACTAACTTTATGAGCCTCAAAAAAATGCAAAATTTTAGCAACTAGGGTACAATATTTTATCGATTAGCATTCTTAATGGCACCTGTGTTGATGATTCGTGTGCTGAAACATTCTTGAAAGTGTTGGTGGCATTGTAAATTAGCCCTTTTGAAAAGCAATTTTACAGTATGTATTAAAAGCCATAAAAATGTCTGCACCTTTTGACCCAGTAATCTTACTTCTGGGAATCTAAGGAAATAGCCCTAAGTCTCCAAAAAAGCTAGATGTATGAAGGTATTCTTCACCGGAGTACTGTTATTATAAGAAATTGGAAGCATTCAAATGTGCTAATGTTGGTTATTTAGTAAGTAATTGTGTTATATCTACACAGTGGAACATGATGCTGCTGTTTGATGTTAGAAAAAGAAACGCCTACCCCTTGCCAGGAGTGGGGATAGGGTTCAGAATTACTGTTCATTTGTAAATCATGATGTAATGATAACTAGAAAACTGCATGTGTATATATTGTTTACTACTAGATAGCCGTAATACAGCTGTGTTTCTTTTCTAACTAAAAGAGGGGTTAAATTTAAAAAAGGTTAGGCCAGGTATCGTGGCATGTAGCTGTGGCCCCAGCTATTCAGGAGCCTGAAGCAAGAGGATCGCTTCAGTCTATCATGTTAGTAAACGTCAACAGCAGGGCAAGACACAGTGGGAACAGAGCCGGAAGTAAGGGATGTCATCCGGGCCTTGGGAGACACTGTGGCCACTGAAATGACCCGTATCACAGTTCTCAAAATGGGTACCAGGGACTTCATTCAGGAGATTGACAGGATCAGAAGTATTTTCAGAAAGAGCTATCAATCTCTCAAAGAGATCGTCCCCAATAAACCAGTCTCTCCCCTAGCAGAGAGTACAAAATGTAATCTCACAAGACTGGGTGCAGAAGCAGGAGAATCCAGTGGTCTTCAAAGTTGGGTATTAAAGGAAATTTGCAAAACTATAAAAATTCTCACCACTAATTTTTTGGAAAATTCATCCATTCTTTGTTTTATGTTTTATGTAATACGGTTTATGTTAACCTGTGATCGATTTATTATTTCTAAATGCACTTAGTGGCTGTTCTTTACAGTTTTGCTTTAATTTCAAATACAGTACCTATTGAACACACAAAAAACAAAGCTCTTTGGTGGCCTCAGTAAGCAAGTGTATAAAACAAAACAAACAAACAAAACGAGTTGGAGAATCCCTGGACTAGAGAATGGGATGTTGGGTGGTGGTGGTTTGTTTGGTAACTGGGATCTAACATGGGTCCAAACTCGGGTCCTTGCACTCGCAAGCCACTGAGCTACATCCGCGACCCTGGGTGGTGGTGTTTTTGAGATTCCTTGGGAAGGTAGCCGAGCGATGGGCGTTGGAAGTACAGGAAACATCTGAGCCTAAATGCATTTAGAAAGGGAGTCCTAAGGGAGTCCTTAGTCCTTAGAAGGTGTGTGCCACCAGAGCACTGCTCCGAATCTGCCCATTTGGGCCCCAGAATTCTTCATGCATTGCATGTTACCATCCAGAAGCAGGACCTGTAAGGTAAACAAAGACAACATTAAATCATCAGCTTTCTTAACCTTAAGCATAACATGGAGAAGAGGCTTCTTCCCCCAGCAGCTTTCAGAAATAAAATGACTGTTACTGCTGGCGATGAGAATAACAAAAGCGCTTGGGCTGGCTTCCTTAAGCTGGAAGTCACTGGAGCTTTCCTATGACTGGGCTGGAGAGGAAGGCTCGGGCTGCAAAGCTTAACCGCTCCTAAGGGGAAGCGCATGACACCACATCCTGTTCACCGGGCACAGGACAAGCAAGAATTTATTCTAGCTGTGTCTTCCCTAGAGGCTGAGTGACTAAACGTAGTATCTAAGAGTTCTGCTTCCAGAAGTTTTCTCCTCTTTCTTTGCTTTTATTTAACTTTTTTTTTTCCCAGTACCAAAGATTGAACTCAGGATGTCGGGCTTGCAAGGCAGGCACAGTACCACGAAGCTAAATCCCTGGCCCTGCTTTTATTTAACTTTTTATTTCTGAGGTAATTGTAAATTTGCATGCAGTTGTAAGAAGAATGCAGAGAGTCAGGCACAGTGATGGTCGCCAGTAATCCCAGCACTTGAGAGGCTGATAATCAGCGGGAGGATCACCATGATTTTGAGGCTGGTGTGGGCTACATAGCGAGATCTCATCTCAAAAAATGAAAATGATGATGGTGATGATGCAGAGAGATACCACACCCCCTTACCTCTCAAGATAAAACATAAAACCTGTGGGCTTCATCAGACCCAACCCTTCCCCACACAGCCCTTGCATTCCCACCCCATTTATCAATGAGGTCAGACATCACCATCTTGGACTGTCTGCTGTTAGGATGCAAAAGTAGAGATTTGTCACATACTACAAATAGAGTAAGATATTTGGGGCAAGAAAGCCTAAACTTTAGCTCACTTAAAACCTAAATTGAACATAAAAAGTCCTGATTCATGGACCAGGAATCAGTTGAAATTTTGAAATGAATCAGTACTTCATTCTCTCAGTATTTCCTGAAAGGTAGCCAAGTCCAAAAGGACAGCAGGACTGAGGACTGGCCTTTTAGCAATTAAAACCTAGAACAGAATGTTATCCTTCATCATCGGGGTTGCAGGAGAGGTTGTTTAAACAATAGCCATAATCATAAAACTTTTCCACATTGCCCAGCTATTGCATAAAACATGGCTGAGCACACCTGCTCTCCAGGGGCCTCCTTGGAATTAGATCTAAATGCCTTTGATGGAATGTATCTCACCTTCATATTCGACTTCAGAATCAATCCTGTTCTTTCTGAACTTCCCTTTCACACCAGAGTCTTTCTACTCCCTCCTGAACCTTCTGGTATTACAGCCCGGTAGCTTTTATTGTTTATTCAGACTCGGATTCAAAGAAAGGGCTTCTTCTCTAAACAGGGAACAGGGTAAAGAGATCAGGCTTTGGTGGTTCGGAGGGGCACTGTTGCAAAGAGCTTCAGGACTTACAAAGTTAACAGTTCTAAGAGGATCACACCTCCGCTTGGAGACTCAGAGATGGAACCTCCAGAGTTGGTGGATCCCCTGGGGTGCAGAAGGGCAGCAGTCTCATTGCAGAGGGCTAAGGGCACTTAGCAGCTGCACAGCCAACCTCCGCTGGCACTGCAGTTGTCTCTCTATTTGGGGTGGTGGCTCCAGATAGCTAATGGAGATGACGGGTTTAAGTCCATTCTCAGTTTTTTCAAGGAAACTTCGTTTAGTTGTTGAAAGTAAAACGATCTTTCAAAACACTTGAGATTAAAGCTGTTGATAAACCAGTGCCACCAAGCTGGGTGGCCACTGAGGAGCATGGAGAAACATCAGACCACTCCCCTGTACGAGAGTAAATTAAAAGGTGTGGGCACAGAGGCTCTTCCTCATCATTAGCCTTTCCATTTTCAACCAAGGCAAGCCACGGTGTTTTGTTTTGTTTTGTTTGGTACCGGGGATGGAACTTGGGACCTTGCACTTGTGAGGCAGATGGCAGGACCACTGAGCTAAATACCCAACCTGCAATTTATTTTTCTTTAAGTATTAAGCTGTGGGATATTAAGAATCCACTTTCAAAATGCAGGTGACACAGTGTGGACTGCTATGGAGAGATATCCAACTTAAATGTTTAACTGAAAAAAAAATTGGGCACAAAGCAGAAATACTCTGCACTCCTATAAATATAGAAAACAGATATAAAGTTTATTACATATGTAGATATACTTGTACATATAAAAAAGTAGCCAGAAGAATAACAAAGTAACACATAGTTAGATGAAGCAGGAAAAAGTGAGGCTTGCTTTGTCATTTGATGTGGTTTAAATTTATTTAGTGTGTGCATCATTCAACATACATTCATTGGGTGCTTTTGATAGACCAGAGGTTGATTCTAGATCTGGGAATACAACCTGAAAGAAAAGAGATAAAAATTCCGCTCAGGAGGAATGAATAGAAGTAGGAAAGACAGATGATAAACACACCAATATATGGTTGAAGGCAAAGATTGAAGGATAATGATGCATGCTTTTAAAAAGAAAGTGGGAGAATGAGACCTGAGGTGCTCTGGGGACACGGGGCAGGGGTGGGGGTGGCAGGGAAATTCTGGCCAGTCCTAACGGAAGTGAGATAGAGTACTTGTTGCATTTAAAGACCCCAGGAGAAGCAGATGTAGCAGAGGGTGTGAACCGAGAATTTAATTGGGAATTCTGCAATGCCTATTAGCATCCAAATGGAAATATCAAAGAGACAGCTGAACACATGCATCTGAAGCACTGAGAGGTTGTGGTTAGAAAGACAACTTTGGGAGTGATCAACATCTGATGGTACTAAATCAGCATCTGATAGGGACCAGCTAAGATCTCCTACAGGAGAAACTGTCATTCACTTTTACTCCACAATAATTTCCAAAGAGATAAAAATCAGGACTCTCCTACAAACATAAAATGATGCAATGTCAAGAGTTTGTCTTCAGCCCTTTAATTGATGAGGGAACCTGTAAGATGTTGGAGCCAATTCAAATTGGAAGAACAGAGGCATATTTATAGAAAAAATGGGAGGATCGAACTCCAGCCCTTGCACTTGCTAAGCAGGCAGCAGAACCACTGAGCCAAATTCCAGGCCCTGGAGTTCTTTTCTATAGGGCAAAAATCAGTTGCATCTCTGGGAAAGCATCATCTGCATGACGATCCATTTTGTATTTCTAGCTCAACCATAAAAAGGCAGTTAAAGGCGTTCACCCTGACAGGAACATGGCCCAGGCCTTCCCCCAGGCACATTGATCTCTTGCTCATTCCCAGGTTTCAGTCAGTTTTGCCTGGCATCCAGCATCAGCTGAGCACCTACCAAGAGACTGGCACAGTTCTGCACTATTAAAATACGTCCACTGAACAAAACCCAGAGCCCTGCCCTCTTGAAGCCCACATCCCAGGGCCAGGGAGGGGAGACAAGGAATCCAGTACACAGACATCCTACAGCATGTGAGCAGACCATGTGTAGAAAAACTAAAAGTAAAACAGGTTAAAAGGACCAGGAATGCCAGTGCTGGGGAGGTGTAACTTTTAAATAGGAAAGGTCAGTGCTGACCACTAAGAAACTGACATCTTGCACTGTGTGTACTCATATCAAAATGTCACATGGCACCCAATAAGTATGTATAATTCTTACGTGTCCACTACGGTTTTTTTTTTTTTCCATTAAGAAAAAAGGAATTGACATTTAAGCAAAGACTCCAAGGAAGTGAGTCAGTCGTGTGGATATCAGAGAGAAGATTGTTTAAAATACAGAAGTTCAGAATTTTTAAAGGTTAGTTTTGTTGGTGTTGTTGGTGGTGTTGTTTTGGTACCGGGGATCAAACTTAGGACCTTGCACTTGCAAGGCAGGCACGGTGCCACTGAGCTAAATCCCGGCCCTAAAGGTTAGTTTTGTAAGGGGTAAAGAAGGGCCGGGGATTTAGCTCAGTGGTTCTGCCCCCTGCCTCGCAAGTGCAAGGTCCAGAGTTCGACCCTCAGTACCAAAAAAAAAAAAAAAAAAAAGTTTAACTGGTAAAGAAAAAAATAAGCAAAACAAAAAAATCTGAGTCACATGTTAAGTGAAAACAGTTTGTTTCCCTGCTTGTGACGTGTTCTTTCAGTCCTCAGCAAACTGTGATGTCATGGGTGTGGAAGAAAAGAAATCAGAAGAGTTATTGTAACAATACTGATCCTTTTAGCCTTTCAGAATGAAAGTTGGCTCTCCTCTTTTATTAGAGGAGACTCCCATCTGCCTCAGTATTCCACCCACAAAGAGTCAGCATGTGTGACAATACTTACGGGGAAAATTAAAATTTTAGTAGTAAATAGCAATTCAAAAATAGTTTTCTTCAAAGAGAATTTCTTTGTTAATGAAAGCGCTGCTTGGAAGTAGACCTGGGAGGTCCTGCTCTGATTTCTAAAACTCTGCCATAGTGAATGGATGAAAATGAAGTTTCCTTTCTCCACTCTTTATTTGGGAGGGAAAGGAGGCTGGGATTATTTCCATTTTAATTCAAACTGTGTACAGCACAGCTTTAAGACTTGCCCAAAGATTTCTCAAAGCACAATTTTTTTCCAGTGGCAAAAGATTTCTTTCTTTTTCATCTTGTCAAATATAACCACTCATAGATAAAGTCAATTTGCTCTTTTGCCTTCGTGTTGGGCTATTTCCTTTTGCCAGCTGACCAACGTTTTCTAGGGTAGGTTGGAATTAATCATTCAACACCCTGAAATTTTTCAGGCCAGCCAGGGCTGAAGATTAAAAACAATAAAATCCACAGCTCGTCCTTTAACAAAAAACCTCATGTTTGTCAAGGAGATGATCATACGTAGACCACACCGGGAAGAAGTTTGAGGAATTTCACCAATCTTGATTCTCCAGATCCACAAAAATGTTTATTTGTCACCCTAACTAGAAATCACACGTACTGATGCATTACAGAAGTAGTAACAGTTTCTCCAAGAGTTGTCACTGTCCAGTCTGAGCCCAGTTCCTGTCTA